ATGCATAGAATGGAATGAAGTGGGCTGTAGCCCACGAAAGCTTATGCTCAAATAAATTTGTTAGTCTCTAAGGTGCCACAAGTACGCCTGTTCTTTTTGCGGATACAGACTAACACAGCTGCTACTCTGAAACCTGGAATTCAAAGGGCTCATTCAAACACTCCCAAGGTATAGGTCGGTTTGTGGTAATATTGGGATGGAAGGCCATTCCACTGGATTGTTTTTTGGGGAAAGGGGAACACTGTAAAACCTTAAACCCATTCAGATCCTCATGAGAGTCACAGCTCCAGCATGAAGGGGGCCATGATTGAGGGGCTACCTGTGGAGCAGCTTACTGTATACAGGAAGCCCTCCTACAGATGCACCTCAATCATACCTCCTTCACTACCCCCAGTTCTTCCCAAAACAAGTGAAGTTCACATGCAAAACCCTTTACAGCCTCAAAAGAAGAAAAGAAAAACAAAAACCAACCAAAAACAAACAAACAAAAACAAACCCTCAAACTCAAACAAACAACAAACATAAAGCAAGGAAAAGCAAAGTTAAGGTGACACTTCCAACACAGCATAGCTGTACACCTGTACATCTGTGTGAAGATAACAGTATGCTCCTCCCTAATTAAAAAAAGCCATTTTCTTGCAGTATATGTGAGAGAGACAGAGAAACTTAGTCAACCTTTGGTATATCAGAAATACTTAGCCTCTTTCTCACTCATCTCTGTTGAGTTGCTGGATTTTTTCCTTCACTTTCTAAATCTAGATTATTATTTTTTTGCATTCTGAGAACAAACTTCCCTTGTTTCTGGAATTCACGTCACACCCACTGAACTCAGATAGTTTGTTACACGTAACTCATAGGAGACAACTTTCAAGCACTTCTATTCAGCTGAAGAATGATCAGCAAAAACTATTTTGTGAGCACAAATCTTTTAAAAATGCATCTGAACACAGATTCAAATGGCTCCACAGAGGCTTGGGGATCTCAAAAAAAGAAAATGTGGCACAAAATGGATTTTGGAAGAGACTGACACCGGAGAGTTTTATCAAAAAATGCAATTCAGAGAGTTAAACAGCCAGTTTTGCTGATGCCCCTCAATCCTAACCTGCAATCTCCCGTTATCTGGTTTCCAAGTGTCTCAGGCTAACCGGCTCCTCTCTTAGGTAAGGAAGGAGTTAATATTCTCCAGTCTGTTTTTGGTTGTCAGAGTGAAAGTGAAAGGAAAGGCACTAGAAGGCTGAAGACTCATTCAGAGTTTGATTCTAGCACAGACGCCTGATGTTTTAGGGTGTCTGGAACCCCTTGTTTGGGGGACAAAATGAATCTAGGGCTCATCCTCATCTGTGGAGTACTGGCTCTGAAGGCTGGTGAGTTTAGGAGGTGTCAGCTGTGGGATTCTGGCTGGTCTACAGGGATGCCTCTTCAGAAGGCCCATTATAGCAGGGGTGGCCAAACCCTCCCAGCCGCATAGCACAATCTTCAGAAGTTCCAGAGCCAGAGCGCACCTGCCAGGGCTCCGCTTGGTGCTTCAGCCCTGCTCCTGCTGAAGCCCCGAGACACCCCCCTCCTCTGGGCAGAAGCCCCTATCTCACCACCCTGCTGCAAGGCAGAGGGCCCAAGTTCCCTCCCCCCGTCTGTTAGGTGGAGAATGGGGGGAAGGGGCGGGGGCTCTGTGAGCCGCACTTAACAGTAAAAGGGCCACATGTGGCTCATGAGGCACATTTTGGCCACCCCTGCATTATAGCCTCAGGGAGCAAGAGGGGAACAGTTTGATTAGCAGCTTGTGTCCCAGAAGGGATTAGACAAATGGGCCCCCATGCCCCCCCCCCTGAGATGGATGGACCTTGTGGTGGTGACACCAGGGGGCGGTGTGATAGTATAAGTTGATAATCATGGGAGAGTGCCTGGGGTCTTCCAAAAGGATGATGGCAGTGGGGGATGGGCAAGTAATACCAAACTGGGAAGCGGTACTTAAGGGGAGGTGTTCCAGGGAAGGAGGGGAATTGTGTAGTGGTAGCGTGCCCCAGGGCTCACCTGGATC